TTATATTTATAGGTGTTTTATTATTTTTGTGGGTCTTAAAAAAATAATAAAAATAATTACCATAATAGTGACAAAACACTTACAAAAATGATAATTTTTTTATATTGAAAAAATTAATAAAAATAATTACAACAACAGTGATAAAAATACTCACATGAGTGATAAAAATATCTACAAAAATGATAAATTACATATAAAAGTGATAATTTTTTTGTTATTAAATGACTCACAAATATTTTAAAAGCACTCATTAAAGTAGTAAAAATTAGAGATACGGTACGAAAATATTTTCTCCAATATCATAGTCAAATCCAATAAGAATGCCCTCGTTAATCATCACAACCCATTAATACAAAATTAAAAACAATTAATCTCTCGATGATTTTCTATTGTTTTTTTCCTTTGGAAAATATTATTTGGACTCAATTTAGATACATAATCTAGAGACTTAATTAATTGAAATTGTAAAAGCAAAAAAAAGAAAAATCAATTAAAACTGTTAGATTAAAAATGGGCTCCAACCAACTTTAAAACTCAAGACTAATCTAACGATTATAATAAATTAAGTTTCAAATTGGATTCGATCACTTTTTCCAATTTGAGTAATAGTTTATTGAATTAATGATACGATAATAGCATACTCTAATAATACTATTATTATAATTATAGTTCATAGATTTTTTTGTTAAAATTTCATCATTTCACATACTGTTTTCTCAAAATTTTAAATTCCAATGCAATCACTCTTTCCTTCTCTTTATGTCCACAAATCCATGATTTAGATAGCCTTGATTGATGGTGATCAATCACGTACGGTTGTGTCTGCCCAATCTCCATTTAATAGTGACTTGTTTGGTCAGTGAGAGACATGGACGGTTAGGATTCTTCAATTCAATGATTACTGGGTTCTAAATTCGTTCAACAACTTGGATGGGGCCATGCCTAATGATCAAAGGGAGGACAAAGAATCCTTGAAATTAGTAGTTTTTTTTTTTTGCGGTAAGTCCTTAAAATTAACAAGAAATTCCCTGGTTCCTATAGTAGCATAGACTAGATCTCAAAAATCCGAATTCTTGTTGCTGTTGGAAGGTGGGTCCCCTTTAAGATTCTTAGGGATCCTTTCCTTCCCATGTTGATGTCACAAACCGTCAAAACCATTAGTAATCACCTACTCAGCCTAGTTCAGAACATCCCCACAAATAATAAAAATTAAAAAAAAAAAAAAGATAAAAAAAATACCACAAATTTTAATTTAGCAAGTTAATTTGTTTAATTTAATACCACAAATAAATATTTGTTTAATTTAATACTTCCCTTCATGTGAAACCTCTCTTTACGTGGTCAAAACACATAATTATTATTATTATTATTATAAAATAAAAAATTTGTTATAATTTACATTCAAGACGTGTAGAATTTGATATTATGTTGAACACTAATTGCTCTAACAGTTTAATTTGGTGAGAAGAAGTGTTACATAAGTGGATGAGGAGCCTTTGCTCGATCAAAACAACGTCATTTTATTTGGTGTCGTTTGGATCAACAATACTCTTCTGCTAAAAACTAATAACAGAAGAGCCGGACCTGAGATAAGTATACGCCTAATAGAATGGACTGACAAAAATTGGATGAGGGTGATGACACATTAATATGGATCTCCGATCTCCAACGGGTAACAAACAGGGAATAAAGCATAGGTAAGAACTGATCCATTACATACATGTGGAGAGAAATGAACTTCAATACGTAGGCCAAGTAGGTAAAATGAGTGCATGGCTCACCACACAAAACAATAGTGGATGATTCAATTGAAGTGATGGGCCGGTCACAAGCCATGGCTAGCACGCATGGTTTAGGGGATGTGGTCCTTCTTAACACGTCGAATTTTTTCTTTATGGGTAAGAAGGAATTCTTCCCACTATATCTTTCTCTCTCAAACATGTTATGTGGTGCATTTTTCAGGTTTTAATGACACATGTTGATGCAATCCACACAGGGACAAGGACAAGTTGAGCTTACCTGTCTTCTGAGAGTGAATGGGTCCATTGCAAGCTAAAGAACGGTTGATTCTTAGCTGAAAATTAAAGGGGGGAATAAGTCAATTTTATGTATTGTCCCTTGTTTGGCTTATGTGGTTTAGTTCATATCCATGGTGGGGGGGACAAAGTGGTGGTGGTGGTGGTGATGGTGTTCTGTGTAGGATGGATTGGAGATATACTTGATGCTAAGGATATAGTAGACTAGACCTAACAAAAACTAGCTTTTCCATTTCCATTTCCTTTTTATGGTGTTTTTCTGAGTAATTCATGTGTTCCATAAGAGTATTGCACTATCATGGAGTTACCGTCCCGATATTTGGGAGGGTCACTCTTCCGGTGTGAACATGTGTGGAGAATGCAATGGTGGCCATCTGAATCTCACTTATTGAAAAGAGATTCATTTATATATAATGGTATTGAAAAGAGATTCATTTACATATAATGAATCTCACTTAAATTTATAGTAGATAACCACCGAGAAAATTTTTAAAAATAGTAATAAAGTGAATTTGAATCTAACCTCTACCAACATGTCATTTTATTTTCCTCTCGGGAGCGGTGGGTGATGGGAGAATTTTGGTGAACCTACATGCTAAGAAATTCTAATAACAATTTTTTTTGGAAAATATACAATTAATCCTAAAATATTATGACCAATCATGAAAGTTATAATTTTTAAATATTAAGTTATACTTTTTAAAGGTAAGTTACAACTGACTAGAGAGTAGTCATGATCGATTATAATATTTAATAATAATTGATCATAAATTTATCTCAAATAATTAAAATTTTATCTTTAAAAAATATTACTTTTAAGTCTTAAAAAATAGTAATTGTGTAGTGGAATTACACGTTGATTGTTACAAGTTCCGCACTGATTCAGTAAAGCGGAGCCCCCACAAGGTGAAGTTGTGCAGTGAGGTAATACTGCGTCGCGTCTGCGTCTGCCAATTAAAAGCCTCCTCAAGGAAGCAGTCGCATCTCTCATCTTCTTTTCCCATTCAAATTCCAAAAGGGGTCCATGTGGATACTGACAATGACGTTCTTAGAATGGTTCAAATTGCTGGTCTCATTTGAAAACGCATATGAAAACATTTGCTTTTACTCCAGTGATCTTTAAGATGCAACAGAAGATAAGCAACATGTGGTTGTGGGGATTATTGACGTAGGTCTTGAATTTCAATTTAACAATTCTTTGAAAAAAGGGTTAGTCGAAATTTACATAAATTGATACGAATACCCTTGACCGTTAAATTAAAAAATAATAGAAATTATTAACGTACATAACAGTATGAGAGGAAGAGGCTTCCAATCACTTCGTCATCTTAGGTTTTCATATATAAGTACCGAATTGATATTAAGTATATACTTTACTTTTGAAATGGGGATGTAAAGAAAGATCAATAATATTTTTTTGCAAAAATGCTAAAAAGACTCGACGAAGAAGGCATATAAAAGAAAGGCATTTAGGATTTGAGACAATTTTTGCTTAAGCAAATTCCTCAAAATGGATTATTTTAGAACAAAATGGGCAGACATGGTGAATTGTCTCAAGATATGGCCAAGTTGTTGTGTGATATGGTCTGAAAAGTTATGGTTATTGTACCAATGGGTTGTCAGAGAACAGACACAATGATAAACATGCATTTTGGCAGTACTTATCCCCCTCCTCTCTCTTTCCACCCCCCCCCCCCCCCCCCACAAGCAACCTTGATGTATGGAATTCCTTCAGTGCTACTGATTGTATAAGTGAAAAATTTATTAAGCTGAATTATAAATTTAAATATTGATAACATCTTAAGATGAGGTCATGAAAATTTTATATTGCATGAATATTATAGTTTTAACTTAGATGACTTGTTTTTGATTAAATTGAGAGAAAAATTAATTAAAATACGTATAAAATTGATTCAAGTATCTTTAACTGTTGAAAAAAAAATATTGTATAAGTGAGAGAAGAAAGATTAAATGCACATGTGTTGAGTTTGAGTTCAATTTTGGGGCATGTTTTGGTAATTTGACAATAAAATTATGTACACAAAATTAAGGCAAAATTTGGGATACACTGCTCTCAGGTATGGACTGCCTTTGTATGTAAATTGCTGATGGCCTTTTAGAACAACCTTAATGGAAGAGAGCACATGGCCTTTCATCTGCTGTGATGTCAGTGCATGGTGCTCTCGTGGGGCCTACTCCTGATGGCTGATTGGTAGGACGCTACGTACCCCTGTCGTACGCCAAACCCTACTTGCCATCAGGTTGGCCCCCTTGGGCACAATGAAATATCTAAACAAAATGAACTCAAACGCGTCTGTCCTAAAAAAAAAAATGATTAATTTTATTGAAGGTTTCAAGTGTACTCTACAATAGAAAGAGAGATCCTAAATCAACGGTCTGAAAATGAAGGATTGATCCATTGGGGAACAAATATAATTGTTTTCTTTATACAAAAGATTCTTGTCGTCTTGTGGCTAGAATGTCTAACTTTGCAATGGCCTGCAGGAGAGGTGCGATGAGTTTAATTCTCGACAAATACTCAAATGTTTACGTATAACGAATTTTGAATTGAGGATAAACTTCTATGAAATTAGAGATAAGAATGTAGATCATTTATTCGTCGTCGATAACTCTATAATAAAAAAAAAAAAATTGTATTGGATACGATAATTTTTTAATAATAATAGTTGAATTCAGTAGAACATGGTTATATGTAAATCTATGCTAATGGTACTGGATTTGAACACGAACGCTAAAGCCACCATGGAACATGAAAAAAGACAATAAACCAACGCCACTCATGTAGGAATAGGCTAGAAAGAGAATAGTGGATAATGTCCAATAACCATAATAACTACCGCCCATGAAATGGAAGATGATGAGCAAACCAAAACGAAAGACATCAATAATAACTACTAACAATAGTGAATTGAAGATAGAGAGGTCCTAACATAACAGAGAGCTTCAAGAAGTAGCCTGCACCCAAAGTGGCCCCCATTTTGGCATCCCTTTGTTCCTATTACCACCCTCTTTGCACCTCCTTGGCTTTGAAAGCTCTCCAATCCCAACCTCAAACCCAACATTCCCTCCATCTCCATCCATGCCCTCTCCCCAGTAACCACCATTATGATTATCGTTGTCGCCATCACCATCAACACTATTAACATCGTCATCATTGTCATCGTCATCGTGTTCTACAACTTCATCTTCACCAAAATTTGCATGTTCTGCAACTTCATCTTCATCTTCTTCGTTGGACTCTGTTTCTTTGTTCATAATCACCTCGTTGTTACAATCAAAAGAATAATCCTTCTTCAAAGAAAGCCTAAGGCGGCCATTGACACGCTCCGCTTGAAAGTTAGTGTTGGAAGAAGGAACAGTGACAGCTTTTATGACTAGTCGGCCATCTTCACGATGAGGCCTTACTCGAACACAATCAGAGCCACTGATCGAAGTCAGGGGAGGTGGAAAAGTACCACTACCATTCAGTTTCTTAGAGAATTCGGGAGATTTTGATCGCTGTAAAGCACCAAAGTTAGGTCCCTCCCAAGAAAGAGAAGAGAATTCGTCGATGCTTTCGCTTACCTCACTACCCGTTTCGCTTCCCAAACTTTCAGTGCACATGTCCAAGCTTTTTGTGCTCAGAGTGGAAGAAGAACGCTTGACAAGAGGGTGAACATACACTTTCTGGGTGTCAACCAATTCTGTGGAATTGAAAGGTTTGTTGGTGAGAGCTTGTAAGAAACTCCAGCCACCCGAGTCACCATTATTGTTGCTTTTGTGATTACCTTCAACACGACCATCGTTGTTTTCGCTGCTGTTGTTGTCATGTTCATCGTCCTCATAATGAGAATTTTCAGTGTGTTCAAGTTTTCCCGATGTATTCGGAATGGATTGCAAAACTTTTGCCTTTGGTGGAGCCAATTTGTGCCTCAGAACACAAGGTTGGATGAGCCGAGGCTCAAGGCATGATCGCAACCCTTGACACACAATTGAGGACATTTCTTTATCTGTTGGTGAAATGTAAAGAAAACAGAGTAGGAACAGAGCAGAAACAGGGGAAAAAGCAGAGGATTTGAGAATTTCAAGCTAAACACAACAATTTTTAGAGTTTGACGAGATCAGAGATGGGTATTCAAGATGTGGAGATTAGGTTTAGAGCAAAACCCATGTTTTGATTCGTGATGAAATGATGATGGTTGATGAGAGAGAGAGGGGGGGGGGAATGGATGGAAAAGGAAGGGGAGGACATGAAAGAGAAGTGACGGGTTGGGGTGAATTTATAGGTGCAAAAAAGTGTTCAATGTGTGGGTCCCATTTTTTTTTTTTTTTTTTGTTTTAAAAGTATAGATGTTCGGATTAATTTATATATACGTCGATTAATTTTTTTTTCGATTCGATTAAAGATAGATCATTTATACCAGGACTAAAAAATTAATAAAAAATAAATTTTAAATAATTTGACTCCAAAAAATTATTAAAATTCAAAGTCAAAACATCTAAATTTACGACACGTCTCTATTACCATCCGAACTAGTTCGTGTGTGGTTCACAGTCTGGAATGCTAGAGTAGGGGAACTTTTTATATGCCACTCGAATTATTCAAGCTTTTACTCTGCCACGCATTATATAATGAGAAAAAGGAAAGCAGGAAAAGCTGGACCAAAAAAGACATGATTCGAAATTTTTTTGAATGGGAATTTGTTAAAGCAAACAAATTGATTGGGTTAACATAAGTAGCTCAATTTGATTGGTTAGTTTGGGAACTCTGGCAAAATAGGTTAAGAAAATAGCAACAAACTGTCGAGAGAGAGACAGCCCTTCATGATGCTTATTGATGGACATTCCTTTGCTTCCTATTCTCTTTTGCCTCGTTCTTGCTTCATAATCATAGTTCTAGGTCTGATTTTTTTAGGGTAAATCCTATGTTTATTGTCCCATTAAGAATTGCACAGATCAGTAACTTCAAATTCATATTCTATTTTTGACCCGTTTTTCATATCCAAATTCTCTTTGTGGGTAATTCCTCTCAATTGTGAATCGAATTCAAATGAAACAACCAATAGATAAGTGTGTCCCATCAAAATGCATCCGATTTTCTGTAACTGTCTTGTAAATTCATGGACCAAAACAGCACAAAATAATTTATTTTTTCAGTATCTTTTTTCATTAAAAGGATCATAATGCCTGCAAAATTATTTATTTAATTATTTTTTATATCAATGGATATTAACCAATGAAGTAAGCTTTCCGACAAATTTGTTTTTTTGTCCAATCACAAAAAAATTATGTTTCACCACTTTATTTAGTAAGGGAATATCCAACTTTTAATTTCTTCCAAGGCGAGGGGAACATGCCTTTTTTTTTTTAACTTTTAAAATCTTCTAGAGCTAGCGACGTATGGAGCATCGCCCAAAAGATGCCTTTTGTTCTTTTTATTTTATATGAGTGACGTTATAAAGAAACCACGTCTACTTGCTTTTCAGCTATAGCCTCCTCCATTGGCCAATCGTTTTTGGCTCAATAGAATAGAAAATAGGTCGGACAAATTGTGCAATACCAGCACTTGTAAAAGGATTGATTCCCAGATTCATTGGAATGCACCTAAGTTAATTCAAATATCTTTAATTGTAATATCAAAATAACAAAAAAGGTTGTTCCACTTGAATCATTCTAAATTGTATATTACCCACCAAAATTAGTCACATTATCTGCACATAAATCTATGATTAGACCTGTCAATAGATTAAATTTGGATCAAATTCTGACTGATTTGAATTCGAATTCAAAATTTTGATTCGATAATCCGATTGATTTTATTTTTGTGGTTCATATTTGAATCTATTAACAATCCTAAATTCGATCCGATCTGAATAACTTAATTAACTAGATTTTAACAAATTATACCTAAATTTTAATTAATTTTTTAAAATAATCATTTAATTTATTTAATATTTATATAAAAATATATAAATAATTCAGACCGAATATATGTATATCCAAATTTGAATTTGTAAAATATAAAATATCGGATTCAAATTCAAATTATCGATAAAAAATGCTAATCAAATTCAAATTTAAATTTAAATCAGAATCCAATCCATTAACAGGTCTATTCCATGATCCCTCGTATTTGGTAGAGTCAAAACCATGCATCTCATGTATGGTTGGTAATTGCAGTGGCATTTTGTTGTATTTGATTTTTAAATTCGTGTTGTATTGAGTATGAGATGTATTCAAATTGACATGAATAATGTAGTGTAAGATGAAGTAAGGGGAAAAAAATGAAAATCATATATTTCTTAATATAATACCAGTGGAATTAAAGGTGATAAATTTAAACACGACACGATAACACGACTTCAATCTAACGTGAAATTAACAGGGTAGGGTCAAAGTTTGACTAATTCTTATCACAAGCTAAAAAATTACATGACCTCCTAATATGAATAATAAACAGGTCAAGTTAATATTGAAATCGAATAACTCAAACTTGATGTGATAAACACGTTTAGAAGGTATAGTATTAAATAAAATCACTATTTGTATTATTTTTTTGACATGAAGTAACTGAGGAATTGTTTTTACTTGTTTCGGCTATTATTTAGACTTAAATAGATTTTTACACTCTGAAAAAATTATGTGTTAGGTTTAGTTGAAAAGTGAATGGATTTCAATGCTAGAATTTTAACTCACGAGTTATACGGATCAACTCAAAAATGATTTAAGTTAGTGTTCAGATATTTGACGTGAGTTGTTAAATAGATTGAGTTAAGATTGAATTAATACTCAATACGACTGAATTGATAGATCTAAGTGAAAATGAGTTTGTCAATGGATCATATCATTCTTGAGTTTGTGGTATATTTGGTTCAAAGTTGTGTGAATCTCATTGACAAAATTACTCATATATTGAATTAATTATATGTCCTTATGTGTTGTACCTTCTACCATTTATTAACATTCGAAATATATTTCAAAAATAGAAGAAAATACCTAATAATGGCTCTTGGGGGGGGGGGGGGGGGGGGACACATATTCAACCAGTAATTTGTGTCCACTATGAACAGTTAGTGCATGCACATGTAGAAGTCCATTAAGTCAGTCATGGGAGCTATGCTATGCAATACATGAATGGAGCCAAAAGCTTATTTTTCCCGAGAGCGATGCAACTTGGATTCTAAACGTTTGACACCATTTGTTACTCTATTAATCATTGTCATTGATTTAACTGTAAATCTTAATATTTATTAAGATTAATCTTAAATTGGACCTCAAAAGATCGTTCGGATCTTAATTTATACTCTCAAAGATAAAAAAAATATTAATTTACACCCTCAAAGATAAAAATTTGTATCAATGTCTGCCTCAAGCTAATAGTCGGCAGTTTACCTTTTAAAATTAAATGAATAAATTACACCTAGACCTCATCATGCTTGTCACTTAATCACCTAAATCCCTCACATTTGAAATATTACACATACATTTCTTGAGAATCTAAATATGACTAAAAATGTTCCTCCAATTGAGCATTCAAATAATTATGTTTAAGTGATGAACTGCATTGGATATAAATAACATTATATAAATACCTGCATTATATTGGGCATTCAAATGGTAACCTTAATTTTAACCTTTAGAGTATAACAGATCTACAAAATATAGGGTAGTATGAAATTACAATTTTTTATTAGAATGAAATCGTATTTTTTAACGATTATATTAACAGATATCAACGACAAAAGATTATATGTTGCACATTCACAAACGTCAGGAGGCGTAAGAGTAATATTCTAAATATGAGGGGATTCAAATGATTAAGTGATAAACATGAGGGGATCTAGGTGTAATTTATTAATTTATTTTTAAACACAAACTCTCGATTGTTAGTTTCAAGTGCGCATTGATACAAATTTCTATCTTTTAGAGTACAAATTTAAATTTTTTATTTTTGAGGGTGCAAATTGATATTCACACGATCTTTCGGGTTGTAATTTGCAAGTAACCATATTTATTGAGATCCACTACTTATTCAATAAAGAGTGAGACTATTCCCACTCCACAAATCACTATTCCCGCCCCATTTAATTTCTCATTATCAAACTACTAAGTACACCTCATTAGTAACTAAACACACCTCATGCTACATACACCTCATCAGGTGCGCATTGATATAAATTTTTATCTTTTAGAGAACAAATTGAAATTTTTTATTTTTGAGGGTGTAAATTGATATTCACACGATCTTTTCGGGTTGTAATTTACAATTAATCTTATTTATTAAGATCCACTACCTATTCAATAAGAGTGAGACTATTCCCACCCCACAAATCACTATTCCCGTCCCATTTAATTTCTCATTATCAAACTACTAAGCACACCTCATTAGTAACTAAACTCATCCCATACTACATACGCTTCATTAATAGTTAAACTCACTCATTCTATATACACCCTTTTAATGAAAAAAGTCGTCATAAAAGTAATGAAAAAAGACACTTAGTTTGAATGCATAAATATATTTACGAAACAAGAAAAAAAATCAAACATGCTGGAATAAGAAAAAAGAAAAAAACGAAATAAGGAAAAAATATAAAGAAAGAAGTAAATCGAAGGAAAAAAAATAAGCAAAAATTAAAGGAACAAGTAAAAGTACAAGACACAAAACCGAATATAAAAAAGAAAGCATCAAGCACAAATACAAAATTGAACAAAGAAAAAAGAATAACAAAAATAAATATAAAACCTTAACAAGATAAAAAGGAACAAATAATTTGAAAGCGCGCACACACACACACACACACACATATATATATATATACACACACATATAAATTTTAAATAAAAAATTATTTAACTTAATTGGGATATCAAAACATACCGAAAATAATGAAAATCTACATAACATACATGAAATTAAATTGCGAAATAATACTAATTTATATCTCACTTAAAAAAATTCATATTGAAAAAATATTTTTGTGATTGCATGAGATGAGATA